GCACACACCTCCTGGAACCTCAGGCTCTGCTGAGGCGGCTCTGGCACAGGGGCAAGGCAGCAGTGTGCACACCTCTCAGACTGGGGCAGCAGCCCGCAGGCACTACAGACGTTTCCTTGAGAGCCCAGACCTCTACAAGCATCGCTATGAGGCAGTGGCACATTCTGGGGCATCTGAATGACTTCCAGACCTGTGGGTACAGCCGTGATCTCAGTCTGTTTGCATTAGTAATGGCAGAGGGCGCTGAGCAGGAGCAGCCCTTCCTTGTTAGGAGGTGGTGACAGATGGACTCAATAAAGACAGGTCAAATGGCAGCACAATGCACTGTATACATGGTGGGGGATTTTAACCACGCAGCAACAGGTGCAGGTTAAACTCAAAAGAACCTGCCCAGGTGGTGCCCTACAAAGGCTCCTCTGCTCATTCATTCAGCAGCAACACCATCAGACCCCAGGAACACAATGAGAACACTGGCAAAAACTGTCCAAATAAATAAACGTTTCCAGAGCTCCGGAAATTAACTAAAGGCTCATAATCCAGGGAGTGTTGAAGGAAACTGGCCGAATCTCAGAGCAGCAAGCATTGTGGCATTTTTACTTGCCCTATTCACAGCCCTCCAATCCTCTGCCCCCAAGCTCCCTGGTAGCCTTGAAAGCAACAGCAGCAATCCCCACAAAACCCAGCAGCTTAGCAGCCACAGGAAGGGTCAAGTTGAGGTTGGAGCTCAGTAACCTCATTTGCCTGGTCTGGTGGTCCTACCTGCAAGGCTAGCCTGTGACCTGACTCTGAGCTTGGCTCACCCAGCACTTTCTCCCTGGGGTGTCAGGGATTGCTTGTCAAAACAGGGATTGTTTGTCAAAACAATCAGCAGCGATTTTGGTTGACACTGGGGCAAACAACAAGCTAACAAAAACTGGAAAATGAGAAGCCCACAGGGGGCCTGAGAAGCCATTGTTTCTGGGGTTACACAAGAGCCTGCAGGCTCAGGGCTGAGTGCTGCTCAGGAAATACCCGAATAAGTTGGATGAGTAGAAGTGCTGACAGCAAAACTCTCCCCCCAACTTTTATACCCAACAAGACTATCCTTGAAAAATAAAGAAGACATTCCCAGATAAACAAAACCCAAGATAACCCATTGCTAGCAGACCTGCTCTATAAAATATACCAAAGGAGTCTTTCAGGCTGAAAGAAAAGGACACTAGACAGTAACTTGAATCCAAATGAGGCGTAATAATGGGCACCTGTAAAGGCAACCACATAAGCATGTAGAAAAGACAATATCAATGTATTTTCTTATTGCAACTTCTTTTCTCTATTTGATTTAAAAGGCAACTTCATAAGCAAATTGTAAGCCTGTGCTGATGGGCATATAATATACAGATATGCCATTTGCATGACAATGGCACAAATGAGGAACTAGAGCTAAGTTTTTGTATGCTATTGAAATTAAGTTGGTATGAATCTTAACTAGAGTATTATAATAAATTAAGATGTTAACTGTAATTCCCAGGGCAACTGCTCATAACTCACACACACAGAAACCACAAGGAAATTAAAATGGCACAGTAGAAAGTATTTCGTAGGGTCTGTGCTAGGAGGAGCTTGGAATCCAAGATGTCTGAGACAGACACTGTCTCCACTCCAGCCAAATCTAGTTGAGTAATACACAACATACACAATACAAGGAACAAAAGTGATGATCAGTTATGATACATGCTGTACCATGTAAGACGAGAGTGCTTGGATAGATTCAAATAGAGGGGTGCTTCAGGCCATCCTAGAAGCCCCTGAGAAGAGAGAATGTTGAGCTCTGAAGGCTGAGAAGTCTCAGGAAGGGGTGTCCAAGGCAAAGGGAAGAGCCCCGGAAACCCCCATGGCTAAGAGAGCTTTCTGGCTCTGGAAACTGACCAAGGCCACTGACCAGACAGGGTTGAGCTAAGCAGCAGCAAGGTCATGCTGTCTTGAGGCTGGGACACACAGATTTGGCACAATCACCACGGAAGGATTTTAAGCAAAGGAACTACATGATACTATCTTTACAAGCTGGCTTTGGCTGGGGTGTAGGGGCTTACAGAGTGTGCCATTGCAGACCAAGACACAGTGGAGACAAAAATGGACAAAATACAAGGTAGATTTTTGAAGGCAAGGCCCTTAGGATTTGTTGATGGATTGGATGAGAAGTATGAGGGAATGGATAAAGAACAGCTCCCAGATTGCTAGTTTTCATAGGGACCCAGCGAATAATGGTGTCATTTCGTGAAACACTAAGTCCAAGGGAGGACCAGGTTTCCAAGGAAAATCAAGAATTCGGTTCTTGATTTTTGGACATGTCAACGTGAGATGCCTACAAAACAGCTAAGTAGAAGAGTCTGTCAGGATCAGCCTGGAGCCCCAAGAGGTCAAGGTGGGAGACATTCTGGACTCCTCTGGCTACACAGAGTTAAAGCTATGCTTGAAGAACATCAACGCAGAGGGTGTGGGCAGGAAAAACGGCCTGCTGAGAGGTTTGATACAAAACAGCCGAGGAGACTGATGTACCAGCAGAGCTGGCAGGCCGACCAGGAGATGGTGGGGTAATGACACAGGGGAGATGGCGGTGAACTGTGTGGAATGCTACAGAGAGGTCAAGAAAGCAACCAGAAACTGCCTATTAGATTTGGTGACAAGCAGGTGAGAAGCCATTCAGGCAAGAGCATCTCCAGTGAACCACTGGGGAGAGATGTCCAGAGAGGATGGACAATTTAGTTTTAGCAAAATTCTATCACATTAATTTTAATTTGTAATGTGATTTTATAATTTGTATTTTAAAATTCTGAACTGCAAAATATTTTGGATATAGTTTTACAGTTGCACTTCCTGTATTTCAATAAATCTAAGACTACACTTATGTACCACAAAGAAAAGCATTGCCTTTTACAACACAATTTTATTTTAAGAGACAGGTCTGGCTGTGTTGCTAGGCTGGAGGGCAGTGGCTACTTACAGCCACGCTCCCACTGCTCATCAGCACAGTTCTGTCTGCTGGTTCCAGGTTGGACGGGTTCACCCTTCCTTAGGCAACCTCGTGGTCCCTAGCTCGCAGGTCACCATACTGATGCCGAACTCAGTGTACACACAGGATTAGCACTGCATACTATAGCCCAGAATGGGTGGGCTCCAGCAATCTCCCACCTCAGCCTTCCGAGTAGCCAGGACTGCAGACACATGCATCATGCCCAGTGACAATGTTTTATCACCGATTGTAAGACTAATACTCTGGCCAGGCGCAGTGGCTCACGCCTGTAATCCCAGCAGTTTGGGAGACCAACGTGGGCAGATCACCTGAGGTTAGGAGTTCAAGACCAGCCTGAGCAATATTATGAAACCCCATCTCTACTAAAAATACAAAAATTAGCTGGGCGTGGTGGCATGCGCCTGTAATCCCAGCTACTTGGGATGCTGAGAGAGGAGAACTGCCTGAACCTGGGAGGCAGAGGTTGCAGCGAGCCAAGATTGTGTTGTCATTGCACTACAGCCTGGGAAATAAAAGCAAAACTCCATCTCAAAAAAAAAAAACAAAACAAAAAAACAAAAACGCTAATGCTCAAACTATCAAGTAAAGGAATCAACTGTCTTCTTGAGATTGCTGCCGTGGGCAGCTGGACTGGGGCCTCCCCTGTGTGGCATCTCCAAGACTTAGTGCAGGATTGACGCGGCACACGGGTGCGGGTTTCTCTGCTGTGTTCGTGGCACGCAGAACAGTGTCTGCTACGTGGCAGGTACTCAGGGCGTATCTGAAGGAATGTGTGCACTACACCACATACAGAAATGATAATATGCTCCCTCCAATCAGGAGGTCCAGTCCTTAAAGGACCACCCCAGGAGAGTTGAGTTGAACTTCAGTTTCTAGTACAATATGCGGCTGTAAGTTCCATTTACATAGACATAACTGGATGAACTAGGTCCCCATTTTCTGCTTAGTGTTCACACATTTTTAGTCCTAAGAATAACCCAGGTAATAACAATATCATGTTGTTAAAATTTATTTTTATTTAGAAGGTGATTATTTGGCCAGGCATAATGGCTCAGGCCTGTAATCCCAGCTACTCAGGAAGATCACCTGAGCCCGAGCCCAAGAGTTTGAGGCTATGATCTGCACTCTAGTCTGGGTGACACAGCGAGACCCTGTCTTTAAAAAGGGGTTTCGTGGAGGTCTTCTAAGGCAGAAATTTCATCCTGAAATGACAAATGAGGCAAAAATATTTAAAAGATCCAAATTAATGACATGTGTTTTAAGAACATAATTTTTCATTAACAATCAACTGCAAAGCAAAACTATATTTTGTTAATAAAGTCAATGGTAACATTTGCTTACGTATTAGAAATAGCCCTGTGACATTTCAGCTGCAAAAGGGAATCATTTAAAAAGCACTGCTCAGCTCCAAGTTTGACTTACAGACAAGGTAACAGCCACCAGGCAAATGAAATCCCTCTTCTCCTTTATAGTTGCTCCTTGGAGAGAGGGAGGCCCGTCGTCCGGGTCTGAAGGAGGCTCCCGAGACTGACACAGATCACTAAACTCCGGGGTGTTCTAGGAGAGTGACAGGCAGGGGTGTTTTCTCAATCATCTCCTGTCTGACACAGACATCAAGCTAAGCTATGAGCTAGGGTGAACAATGCCTCTCAGCAGCTCCTCCTCCTTGACCAGGCTCCCGACCACGGAGCATTTCAGCCAAGGTTTGGGGATCTAAGGATGGAAGGAAAGAATGTGATCACTGGGGAGGAATTCCCCTCACAGACCCCCGCCAGAGCCACTCAGCTTCAATCAGCTGTAACCCAGCCTCAACACCTGCCCGTCACTGCGCAGGGAGTCCATGGCAGCAGCCGTGTCAGCACACCTCCTCCTGTGGCCACATCGTCACTGGCTTCTGGAATCCAACCTGGGGCCTTCCTGAAGCCAAGTAAGAAACTCAGGACAAGGCTTCTCTTCTTTGAAAGCCACATCAAGTAGCACAAAGGACTGAGGTTTGCAGCTATTTTATTTACAAGTATACATTAACACAATGAAATAAACACTGATATATTGAAGCCTAGTTAATAGTAGTGTAACAATATGCATCATTTTGATGATTACATTATTTTAAACAACAAACTACACTGAAAAATTAATGCCGATAAAATTCTTGGTCATAATATTAAGAAATACAATATATAAATTGAAAATATGATTGCTTAAAATTTGAAAATGGAAGTGAACTCATTTGGACAGACTCAGAGTTAACATAATCTGAAGGGAGGGGAGCTCTGACCCAAATGGTATCTTTCAGGTTAACAGAAGAAAAAAGAAGCATAGTTGATCTTCAAGGAGAACGGGCAGTTTGCTTCTTCAGGTAGAATATATTCCCAGTGTCCTCAGGCTTCACAGCAGAATCACATCACCGAGCATGAAGACTTGCCTTGTGAAGCTGCCCCATCCATTTTTTCTGCCTCCAAAATTATCCTTCTAAAAACATCAACAGCAGTCTGGAGGGAGAAAGAAACCCAATCACAGTGTCAGTGTGAAGCTGAACTCCGAGACTACTTCCTGGACTGAGGAGGGCGTGCCACTTGCCTGGCCCTCCTGCTGGTGGAGGAGGAGGGGTTCTGGTGAGCCCCAGAACTTCAGGGCCCCCCGACGCCCAGTAAGGCCACTGCCCACCCCTCCTGACCCAGACCATAACCAGCCTCCCACTGTGCTTTTGACCGTTTTCTTCAGGCACCAGGAGAGGCCCAAAGAGTCCTCACTCCTGGACTCACCACCATCTCCTGTCCCACTCCACCCCACGACCCCCACCCAGTGTCCTCTGGACCTCAGAGTCCCTCTTCACTTCTGGCGCTATCTTCCCTCCAGTCCCATGGGACACACTCTCCTAGCAGCCCTTGCCTCTCACATCCTTGACTCCAAGAGGCCTCGAGTGGGGGAGGCACCCTCCGTGCTCCTGAGATGCCATGATGCCAGCCTCCAACACCTCTGCGGCATAATTCTTGGCCACTTCAATCCACAAACTGCCCTCCCTATCTCCTGGCCTCTCCTCTGCTGCCCGTCTTCCTGCCCTTAGCCTCAGCCCAGGGTCAACTCCACCAGTCCTTCACCACAAAGAGGAATCATGGCCACTTGTGGCAGGAACTCTTCTTACACTGAGGGGAGAGAAGAACTGTCAGGTCCTGTCTTTTTTTTTGTTGTTGTTATACAGATTGGAGGTTTCTATGTTGCCCAGGCTGACCTCGAACGCCTAGCCTCGCCTCCTTATGCACCACAACACGCCTGAGCCACCGTGACTCCCCGACCCTGTCCTTTAATAAATGCAGTCCTGTGGTCATGAAAACCTGCCCCTGTTCTCAGAAGCCGCACGGAAAGTGCCCAGTTCTCCTAATCACCAAGAATCCCCCTCCCCCATCACTCCAGTGACTTCCAGTATCCCACGAAATGACAACACACCAACTGCCAGTGTCCCACCAAACCACCTTCCCAGCTCTTTTTCTCTAGCTACCCTGAAGCAACAATTCTCAGCCCCACAGGGGCCTGATTTGTTGACCCTATTATTACATCTCCCATGATCCTTAACCATTTCTTGCTGTTCCTTTCCCTCTCAGTCAGCTCAGACTCTGCAGGCCACCATGGCGCCACTGTACTTCAACTCCCTTCCCTACCAACTGTCACCAGCATGGTGCCCGCGGCCACCCAGTAAACGCTGCCCAGGGAAAACACACACCGCTGACTACTGACCTCACACCCATGACCAGGAACCTGGGACAGACGCTTGGTGCTGCCTAGCCACCCAATTGCATCCCTGGGGCTGGGCACTCCCCAGAGAAAGGATTCATGCCTTGTCTCTTCTCCTCAAATGTTCCCCATCCTCATGCTCAGCTGAAAACCTTGTTTTACACACTTCACTGGAAAACAGAAGCCACATTCATGAAAGAACTCCACATCCTCCGTCCACCAAGCTGACCCACCCACTTGAATGTGGGCTCCCATCCTCAGCCTTCTGTCCTATTGCTATGAATGAGGTGTCTGTCCTCCTAGTTAACCGAAGCCAACCCCAGGTCCCACCCCGCTTGTCTAATCTAGGTCACCGGCTTCGGATCACCTGATTGACAGGAAGCAGTGTGTAGAGAAAAAAGGACTAGATGTGGATGAGATTTACAATTCAGTCTTAGTTCTTACACCACGTAAGGTAGTGGGTGATCTTAGAAGTCATTTAACCTCTCTGAAACTTAATTTCCTCACTTCTAAAATGAGGCGGTTCAACTACATGATCTGAGGGATACAGTCTGTAGGCACTCAATAGATGACTGATTTAATTCAATTTTTAAAATATAGGTATCTCTTAACTATCTCAATTCTTATTTGAATTCTGCCTATACTCAGAAACTGAGCTGACTTCAATAAATCCCTTGCTATCTGGAACTTGGGAACCAATTACACAGATCTGTTTATTCATTGTTTTCATCCACACATAAGAGGACATAATCACACGGATTCACTATCCCTCCATATCCCAACACAGGACGGATTCACTATCCAGTTCCTCACTCCCTCCACATCCCAACACAGGAGCGGATTCACTATCCCTCCATATCCCGACACAGGGCGGATTCCACTATCCCCTCCCATCCCATTGAGACGGATTACCTATCCCTCCATATCCACGACACAGGAGCGGATTCACTATCCCTCCCATATCCCGACACAGGGCCAGATTCACTATCCCTCCATATCCCGACACAGGGCCAGTTCACTATCCCTCCATATCCCACGACACAGGGCGGATTCACTATCCCTCCATATCCCGACACAGGGCCCGACACAGGACGGATTCACTATCCCTCCATATCCCGACACAGGACGAAGCCAATTTGACTAATATGGGATACTTGGGCTGACGGATAACCCACTAGATACTAACACACCGTGCTGAACGTTATGAAGGATATTTATGTAAATGATACCGACTCAGATCTCAGAATAAATTAAGGGGGCTAAGAGAAGAAACCACAATTTCTTTCAGCTGGATGGATCCGGAGGGTTCAACAAGAAGGTGAAATCTAGGTGGAGCCTTGAGGACTATGAACCTCTGTCATGGTGAGAGGGGCGGAGCAGGGAAGGAAGAGTGCCAAGGCTGCTGGCTCCCGGCCCTCCCAGGGAGGAGGCACCACCTTACTACACTAGAGCTTCCTCAGAGAAATGAAAACCGAGTCATCTTACCTGAGGATCAAACACGGCCACACGTTGAAAACACATTCAAAATAGAAAACCCCACATGCTAGAAGCAGATACTTGGAGAAGGGTTATTTTAAACCAGAGGCAGCATGAGGAAAGGTGAGACATTCTGAAAGTGGAGTGGACAGGAGATGATGTATTTAAGGAAGGGAGCAGTTTGATGTGATTGAAAGTACAAGAATGTGGTGAGAGAAGAAACTAGAAAAGAACAAATCACTGACTGCGCTCAGGACCAGGCGAAGGTTCTACGGAGAAAGGGCAGTTCACTGACAGTTTGAGTAGAGGACGGTACCATCAGATGTATGTCTTTAGAAAGTTAAGGGCAGCAAAGAGAAACATATAGATGAAAAATGCACTGGGGGCGGGAGACAAGTTTGGTGCTGGGGGTCTAAATTAAAGCAATGGAAGAAAAAGGTTCATACAGGATTGTGAAGCCTCCTGAAGCAGAATCTACATACTTCCCAGAACATGCCTTTAAAGGTACATCTACAGGGTGAAATTGGTACTAAATGCTTATAAGATGGTTCTTAATCATTTCTATGTTAAAAATTAACACATACGTCTGACCCGGTTTCATCTAACAGAAAAAAAAGCCAGGGGGTAGGTACAGTTAAAAATCAGTGCTAATGATATAATTTTTTTTTTTTTTTTTTTTTTTTTTTTGCTGCATGGACTTATTTCTGTATCAGTTATTAATACAAAACAAAATACATGTTTACAAAAGGTAGTATTTCCCTTACTAATAGTTTATGTTTATCCTACAAATATCCTAGGTTCCACTGTAAGTAGAATATTGACTGAATTTATAAACACCTAAGTAGTATCTTCCTAAAGCAACACAAAGCTTGGTATTAGAAATGTTCTGGAAGGCCAAATGTTATACAGGAGTGATCAAGACAGAGGTCAAATGCCAACTGCAAGGAACACATCCATGTGACTGATGAGAACGCAATGCAAAATGAGGTTTATAGAATCTGTTACCTGATTTTCTTTAGCAGAAGATTCCAAAAAAGCTGCATTCCAAGATTCTGCTAAAGCTTTCCCTTCTTCATAACTGATCACCCTAAAGGACAAATAAAATTCTGGTTAAAGTACTTTGCTCTTCATTATATAAAATATCTATAATTGATTTTGAAACAGGCTCCATTTTGGTCAATTTCTTTCTCATGAAGCAGAACCATGCCCTGGCCTAACATTAGCATCGAGAATGTAACACAGGAGTGTTTCAATTACGCCTGAGCTGGGGAACAGAATAGACATTGCCTTATGGGATTATCCCTGCTCCAGCAAACCTTCCAGCTCAGAGAACATGATCCTATTTTCCAGTACTCCCGTATCTGTAACAATTGACTATTCTACAGCTAGGTTTTAAGCACCCAAGGCCAGGGGAAATTGTCAAAGGGCCTGAAAGCTCAATTCTCTTGCGTGCAGGATGTAGAGTCTCTTACTGTCTGACATGAAGCTGCCTGGGCATGGGACATCTGCCTCCTTTGCTCCCCACTGTAATCCCAAACCCTGGTACTCAAAAACCACTTGCTGCATCCATGAGCACCACGTCTTTTTAGAATTTGCTCTATGCAAGGTGGTAGATAACCTAAAGGTAGTTTTCTATAAAGTTTGCTCTCTCTTTTCTAGAGGAATGTGAGATTTCTATTGCACTTTTGCTTCTGCTGCACACGACCATAACATCTCTGAACAGATAAGAAATGCCACAGCTAAAAATATTCTTGATATCAGAACAATAATTAAAATGACACTTCAGTGACTAAATCATCTTAGACTTGACTTTAGAAATCACTAATGATTTAAAAGCTACATACCTTTCCATATGCAGGTCTTTCTTATTCCCAACCAACATAATAGGTATTCTATTTAAAAGAAAAACAAAACAGAACAAAATAGTCAGTGCCAGATTGTACTGCTCAGAAGATACTATTATAAGAAGTTTCTCTAACAAACAGATAAAATGGTACTACTTACTGTACTTTCCCCACCATATCCAATAATTTGCCATGGATAACTTTAATCACTTCAAAACTATAAAACAAAAAGTATAAATTAGACATCCATTTTAATGTTGAAGTTTTTAAATGTATGTTATGTTGACAGCTGGAAAATGCAAAATGTCACAGACTCACCATTTTAACATAAACTGAACACAAAGAAGTCTTGTTTTTTCCTAGCAATCCATTCACATGTGCACACATCTGACACTCAGTAACCCTGACTGAGGATATTCAAAGTGAAACAGGTAAGGCATTCAAATGGAAAGCCTACCACTGGGCTGACAAACCACATAAATGCAATTTTTAATCACCCAACTTATTCAGCAAAGAACCAACTGTTTACATTACAACTTGAACAGCTTTTCCTAGAGTGCCCTAGTGCACTCAGCCTGTTCCTGTTTTCTTTCCTAGGTACATACATTCTCTGGGTGATGCCAATCTCTCTTGGCTTTCAATCAGATCAATAAGCCGATGACTCTAGGTTGAAGGTGGCTCTCACTGGGAAGGGCATCTGAGATGTCACAATGATCACTCGAAATCTGCCATAGTAGGATTATTTATACCATTGAATGCAGACAAACGGCCACAAACCATTTCCCACCCTCCCCCCAAAAACCCAGGCGAACATTTGCCAGCACATCACTGGCTCTACGTTCAAATCCTACCTAGAATCTGATGGCTTCTCACTCCCCGCCACAGCTGCCACCGAGGTGTGAAATTCCTGGCCCAAGACTGCCTGCATCACAGCTACAGCCCCACCCTTCCCTGCCACCCCTGCTCAGCACAGCAACCAGAGGACTCGACTGCAGCGGATGGGCAATGTCTCGTTCAACGTCCTCTGATAGGCGGCCATCTCTACTCGGCCCCAGTTACTCTCAAACCCTGACTTCTGCCTCCATTCCTGTCTGCCCCCTCTTCTGTTTTGTCTGAGCTGCACTGGCCTCCTGACATTCCTTTAACACCGCCACAGCCTCTGAAGTCACTCCCCGTGTGCCTGGTATGTTCCTTCTCTAGGGATCCCTTGCTTCAAGTCTTTCCTCAAATGTCACTTTTTTTTTTTTTTTTTTTTTTTTTTGAGATGGAGTCTTGCTCTGTCACCCAGGTTGGAGTGTAGTGGCACGGAACTCAGGTCACTGCAACCTCCGCCTCCTGGATTCAAGCAATTCTCCTGCCTCAGCCTCCTGAGCAGCTGGGACTACAGGTGCCTGCCACCACATCCGGCTAATTTTTGTATTTTTAGTAGAGACAGGGTTTCACCATGTTGGCCAGGCTGGTCTCAAACTTCTGACCTCGTGATCCACCTGCCTTGGCCTCCCAAAGTGTGGGATTACAGGCGTGAGCCACCGTGCCCAGCCTCAAATGTCACTTCTTACACCTCTTCTGTTTATCCTAAATTACAAATTCCCTGTCTATTTCTTACCCCTTCTGTACTTCATTTTTCTTGACAGCATGGTCACAGACATCCTATCTCATATGTGTGTCATTTTACTGTTTGTCTCCCACACCAGAAATAAGTTCCACAAGGGCAGGGATTCGTCTGCTCTGTTCATGGTTGCATCACAAGCTTCGGAGCAAGTTAGCTTGTTGAATGAATTACACACTGTGCTATTTTAAACCACGTGTGCTGTCACTTTGATAAAAACAAAAATGAAATTTAACCCCCCTACAAGCTCGCTGTGGGTCAACAATGGGATATGGGTGTCCTAAGGACCTGCGGTTACATTACAGAACCACGTTTTCCTCCGCATGCTGTATTTGCCTACATTTAAAAGTGTCACCACTTGGGCAAAAATACAGTACCCTGTCACGTGAGAAACAGCTGAAAGAACTGGGACTGTGTGGCAGGCAGCTTGAAGCCAGCTCCCAGAGCTCACGCTCTCCTAGCGGCCACACTGTGTGTCATCTCCCTGCATGGACATAACAACGTGCATCTAATGAACAGAATATGGCAAAGGTGACGGGATGTCCCTTTTGAAGTCAGATGGGACTGCAGGCCCTGCTGACACTCACCCTGCGGCTGCAAGAGACTGAAGTAGAGGACACAGCTAGGACACGCCCAAATTCCCGATCCACAAATCTGTGAGATCATAAATGTGTACTGTTCTAAGTGGCTAAATTTCTTGAGGTCACTGATTTTCTGAATCAAACTGGTTGATTCAGAAAGTTTTACTGACATATTTCTTGTATATTTATAAATATTTGTGTATTCAGCATATAGATTTCTAAAAAACAAAACACCACTCTTCTCACACTCATGTTTGAGATTTGAGAATGCTCATTAAACTACGAGCTACTAAGGCAAAAGGCATATAACAAAACAAAACACACCTATTTTAGTAAGGAGAAACTTGGTCAAAACTTGCAACAGTGCCACTGAGGGGACACAGTATCAAGGTTTTTGTCCTCTGCTTTGCACTAGGCCAATGTTTTCTCCAATACATAAGGTCCTTGGTGAGCACATTTTCATATTTTTAATCCAGATCAACTTATTTTTCAATTTCCCCAGTGATACGTGCTATGTTTTCAACTTGATTCTATAATGTCATCTAATTTGTGCCCACCAAAGGAGATTAAAAAAAATCAGTGGACGCACTAAGAAAATTTTCTACCTACTATTTTGATGCCTCAAAGTAACAATTTGTAATGTTGGTAAAAAACACCAACATTATTTTCTAAAAATTAGCTAGAATAAAATTATACTTACCAACAACAAAACAATTTTTGAATCATGTTTTTCAAGTTAATTGGTAAAATAATGGTAATTCACAAACAAACATGAACTTCCAACATTCATTAGATTAGTGGTACATTAAATTTGTTCTGGACAAGGCCTTACACATGGCAGGCACTGAAATGGAAAATCTTAGAATTTATCGAGCAAACGAGAGCTTAACATGAGTTATATATACAGTAAGTACATTTAAAAAATATACAACTGAAATTAAGAAAATCTTTGTACAAAAACGGCCAATATTTTTACTAAAGTGCTCGTGTAAGTCAGTAAGAAAACAATGTTTCCAAATACTATGTACACTGTAGTTTTAAGCATAAAATCCAATCTAAGCATTGCTTTTAGTGACAAGAATATGAATACATTAAAACAGGAAGAGAGCTATCCATCTATTATTGAATATGAAATATTATAAAGCTATTTACTATTTCAAACACTTGGTAATATGGAAAAATATATATTACATGGTAAGTAAAAATACAAAAACATGGAAAATATAAACCATAAAACAGCATTCAGAGAGCAAATAAAAGGATGTTAAAACAATCCATGCAGACTAAAACAAAGACCAGAAAAAACATATACCAAGATATTCCCAGTATCTATGCTTAGGTAATGATATCAAGAATGATTACCCCCACTTTCTATTTTTCACAGTTTCCCAATTTTCCTTAAGGAACACATAATTTTGGTACTTGGTTTTGATTCAGGTGTAAACTTTCTCAGGGACTGACAGTATGGGGTCTGTTTATAAGAATGGCCGAGAATGGTACTCAAACATTTTATAGCTAGAACTCAACACCCTAAATATGTTTCTCTGCCATGGAGAAAAATGTTAAACAACACACTCACAGAGCTGCAGACTGAATTTTCACTGGCAGTGGAGTATGTGGGGGTAAGGAACCCAGACACTGGCCAACATGGTGGCCTCCAGCCACACGTGGCTACTGAGCACCTGAAGTGGGGCTACTGTAACCGAGGGAGTATGAATTTTTCATTTTTAGTTAATTTAAAAAGCCACCTGCGGAACAAATAGCAAACACTTCTATCACTGCAGTAAGTTCTATTGGATAGTGTCAGCCTTGACTGTGGAACTGGAGAGATGGCTATGAATCCCAGCAACGTCATTTTGTAGCCCTGGGCAAGTTGCTTTAGCTCTGTCACTCAGTCTCTTTCTATGTAAAGTGGGATATAAAACATCTCTGATGAAGGATTGTTTAAGGTAATGATGAAATAGGTAATGTATCATATGTAGGCAAAGAGCATAACAAACTCCCCAATGTGTCGCACACACTCAATAGATGCTAGGTAGCCACCAAACGCCCTCCACTGGCACTGATATTTTCATAAAGTCTTCAAACATAAGCTGTCACCAATGCCCAGAGCTCCGCTGCTGTATACAGCCAGCTGTTCTGTTAACAGACACAGACCACTGCTCCTCCTGATAACACACGCCATCCCCCGATAAGAGATGACATGAAATATGTAGCTAAAGGAACCGACATCCATTCTTATTTATACAAATAATGGCTCTGTTTTTATGTAGTAAAGAGAGACTCTATTACCAAAAGGTCTTATTTCATAAATTCAAAGGATAAGATATTGAACAAACCCAAACCCTCAACATTTTATTAGAAAGTCTATTTCACCTTAATATGGTAAAAACATACACAAAGTAAAATCAATTTAGGCATTTCCCATTTCAATTAGCAGAAAAGCTTAGATCATGCTGAACCACTATTTTTCCCGGCAGCTCGAGGTAAGAAAGAGCCTTTTATCCTATTGATGCAACTAACAGAACATTTAGTGGGCCATGTTTTCCCCCAACAACCCAGTTGCTCCACAAGAAAATCACTAAAAAACATGTAGCCTACTAATTCTAATTGTCACTATTAATAATTCCAGCATAGTCCTTTAAAAGGATCAATGCTCTATCTATGAGTAGCAAATAAACTCAAGCAGGCAGCAGGAGCCTTACCTTTTGATTGATGTAACAGAATACACAAGAATATAGCCATTAATATCTATGGAGTAGGTCTGAGGAAAGATAGAATATTCATCCTGTGGAAAAAAAAAATATATTTGAGTAGTCTTCATATAGCATCACAAGCAACCTTTACCCAAAGTTTTCCATGTATTACCTGAAGAAATCAAAGTAGACACAGAGTGGATTACAGTATTATGCCAGAAACAGCCTACACACTGAAGCTTTAAGAATGGCTTGGAGGTGATAATGTGGTTCAAGCCAATATTTAAAAATGACTAGCTGTTCTAGAACTTTAGGGGAAAGTCTGATGACCTCCGTAACTCCTGGCAGAAGAGGATGGATGGAACATAAAGATGATTGATTGGCTCTGTGATCTCAAAACAAGGGATGAGCATGACTAAGTCCAGAATCTTCTAGACCTCAGGACATTTATACATCCTGCTGATTTATGCCATAAATCTGTATTTTTATACTTGAAACTGTCCTATTATTTAATTTATTCTCTGCATGTCAGTCACAATGACCTGAGCTTCAATCTACATGTTGCTAGAGGGGTGCCAATAGCATCTGGGGGCGGGGGGGGGGGGGGAGGGGAAGGAAGGGAGGGAGGCAGGGATGGGGGGAGAGAGAGAAAGACAGAGAGAGAGAGAGAGAGAGAGAAAGACAAAAGAGGATCAAAACACCAGATTCAATTGAGGTATTCAGACTTTTGGGGACCAAGAGAGTTACTTACTGAGCAACTCTAGGAATTAAAGAGAAAGGTACCTATTATGCAACAGCATAGTAGTCCTTAGTTTTATAAAGCAACATTATGAAACTTTGCTTTATATACATATTAAAGCATACAGAAAGTTCTAATGTCAGTGCAGTTTTCAACAGTACATGCTACTGTCTGGTACAAACATTTCATTCTTAGGTGAAACTAAATTGTCAACATAATACATGTCCCAAGCACTATTACGGAAAAATCACATCATGGTACCAGCAGATTAAGCAGCAGTCTATTATTTTTGTAAACTTACAGTATGGTTATAACCACTGTTTACGACAGCCCAGAATTACTGCCCTGTGGTAAAGTTCTTTAAAGAAAAAAAAAAAGAAAAAAGAAAAATAAAATTAAGTTTTACTATAAATTCTTTGATATAATAAATAAGATTAAAAACAAAATCCCAAATGATTTTAATCACTAGCTCAGCGAGAGTAGGTTCAAAGTTAAAATTCTGTTTTCCCTAGAGGGAAAATGTGGAAACATAGAAAAAAGTAGTTATGTCTAAGAAGCACTGAGTGAAAAACCACCAGTTAGAAGATATAATGGAGGAAACAGCCCCTAGCTGATATAATTCTGAAAAAAAATTTTTTTTTTTGAGACGTAGTTTTGCTCTTGTTGCCCAGGCTGGAGTGCAATGGCACTGTCTCAGCTCACTGCAACCTCCATCTCTCAGGTTCAAGCGATTCTCCTGCTTCAGTCTGCTGAGTAGCTGGGACTACAGGCTACACCACCACACCTGGCTCATTTTTGCATTTTCAGTAGAGACAGGATTTCACCATGTTGGCCAGGCTGGTCTCGAATCCCTGACCTCAGGAGATCCGCTTGCCTTGGCCTCCCAAAGGAGCCACTGTGTCCGGCCTTTAAAGTCTACTTTCTGAGAAAGAATAATAGCAGTATAGTAGAAATTGGGAGGGTAGGTGAGTAGAAACCATAAAGCTCTCATAAAATAATACTGTACTGGCTCACAAATAGAACAGACTGAAAAATCTAGAAAGACCTGATAGATATGAGAATGAGGTACCTGATAATATTGGCATTTCAATCAGTGAGGACCAAAAGTAACCCTCAACTGAGCGTAGAGGGACACCTGGGGATGAATGGCTAAGCTGGATCTCCAATTCACACCTCGGCAAAAACATATTCCAGACGAAGCAAACATTTAAAGACGAAAACGATGGGCACAATAGATGCGAGAACTTAAAACACATTATCAGTTAAAAAAGATTAATAAATGAAAAAGTTCTTCATGGCTGCAAACCTCTCAAACAAAAACCATAAATAAAACACGAACTGAAAACAAAACTGTGCATCTCAGATCATATACAAAATGTTAATTTTCTTCACATATCGAGGGGGAATCTCACATCAACACGCAGACTAACCACCCAATAGAAAAAAAAAGGCAAAGTACACAGACAGGATAATTCACAGGGGAAAAAAAAATACAAACATCTTCCAACACAGGAAAAAATCAAAGCCCCTCCTAAGAAGAAAAATGCATTATTATAAGTACACTGGGATGCTATTTTTTACCTATCAGATTGGCAAGTACCAAAACGTTTGGTTAACACACAGTGCTGTTGAAGGTGTAGGGAAACAGACACCCTCATTCACTCCTGGCAAGAACATGAACTGTAACCCTATGATAGCCCACATCCAGGAAGTTTTCCTATGCGCATCATTATCCTATGTGTAAAACAACGTCTGGGACGTTCGTTAAGGGATTGCTGATGGTAGCGAGACAGGCAACAGTCTAACTGTTGATCAGCAGTTAACTTACAATATATAACCCAACAACTGGACATTATGCGGCCTTGAAGAGAGGCCATAGGTATTGATATGGAATAATCTCCAAGATGGAGATGTATTACTCTTTGTGTAAAAAGGAAAAAAAAAACAAAACCAAGCTTAAAACTATATTTGCATATTCATGTATCAAGTATCCTAGAGGCATATACTAGAAACTGGTAAATGGGGTTGCTGGCGGGGGTGAGGGGGTTAGATAGCTAGGGTAGGAACGTCTTAAGTTTTACTGTTTACACATTTTTGCACTATTTATTTTTGTACTATGTGCATTACACCTATTTTTTAAAAATTAAACTTAATTTTCAAAATAGCAAATTTGGTTACATTATAAGATGGATTGTCATTGAATCAATTTTAATTATTATTATTATTATTAATTTATTTATTTTTTGAGACGGAGTTTTGCTCTTGTTGCCCAGGCTGGAGTGCAATGGTGCAATCTCGGGTCACTGCAACCTCTGCCTCCTGGGTTCAAGCAATTCTCCTGCCTCGGCCTCCCAAGTAGCTGGGATTACAGGCATGTGCCACCATGTCTGGCTAATTTTGTAGTTTTAGTAGAGACAGTTTCACCATGTTAGTCAGGCTGGTTTCAAACTCCTGACCAAAAGTGATCCACCCGCCCCGGCCTCCCAAGGTGCTCAGATTACAGGCGTGAATCTAAATTATTAACCAATTTATGCCAGAGGTTGCACTTTTTTTTTTTAAATGAAAAATCAGACCTTGGTGACCTTGATCAGTAGGATATAAATAACTTCCATAAGCTTAGTGTTCCAATAACGGAACACTAGGCATAAATAGGTTATAATACAGAAGAGGCTACTTTTTTTTTTTTTTTGATACTTCACATTCTTACCCCAAAATTCATTTAGGGTACATGCTCTCACCCTAATATGGGCAAAACCAAAATACTTCATGCAATCTAAAAATAATCAATCTGTATTTAACTATGTTCATCATCATTCCTAGGTTGGCAATTAAACCACTATTAAAGCATAGTGGTATGGATGTACTGACATAAACCACTAAGTAGTAAATAGAACTTGCTAACAAATACCGCTATGCAGCAATTCACTGCATGCAATTTCATTCCTGAAATGTGGAAGCAGCTAGTGAACAAATTTACTACAGAGTACTTTTAAAATAATTTGCCTCTTAATCATCTTACCCTACTACTACCAGTCTTAATCCCAGAACTAGCCCCGTATGCATGCAATTTATAAAGCAGCTCTTGGAACAGTAAACATCTGAGTTTTGTTCTCACTCAGTTTTCAACAGAATGAAGGGTGAAACTACGGCAGGACATGCCTGTGCTTCACTGTCCAGAGCTGTAAATAAAGAGCACATCTTTAATTTATTGTCCATCAACTGTAAATATAACCTTCAAGAACTACTAGTTGCAATGAGTACAAATGATTTAAAGTAGCCAAATTTGGATCTATTTTGTGCAAAAATTCTCCAATTACTCTTGCCCAGTTGTAACAGAACCCAAAGGGGAAAGACAACAGGGCTGCTAATATGACCACTGCTCTTGTCTCATCTCATATCATATACCCTTCCTAAACACTGGTGCTTTTGGTTTCACTATTTGTATTATTACATCACTAAAATATTTTAAATTGTTTGATACCTGAGTGTACATTTATATTCTAGGGCAAAACAGTACCTCAGAGGAACACATATTCCAACTTGATAAGTAGTCAATATAAAGAAATTTATTCTTTAGATAAATCTTTTCAAAGACAGCTCTCCAAGTATTAAGAACATGTGCACTTTCACCATGCAGCCTGTCAGCACAGTTAATATGCTGGTGTCACACTTGCCTCAGCAGCACTAAAGGTCTACAGAGAAAGAGCACATCTGCTTCAACCCCACTGTGACAATCCTCCAACAATTCCAGTTATCACTATTTATAGATAAAGCTCTGTGACACAGAAAGACTTCTTCACCCTTTAATTTAAAGAGATGGGATCTCGCTCTGTTGCCTAGGCTGGACTGCAGTGGTGCTATCACAGCTCACTGCAACCTCAAACTCCTAGGCTCAAGTGATCCTTCCACCTCCCACAGTGTTGATATTAAAGGCATGAGCCACCATGCCCAGCCCTCATTAGCTTCCTTAAGGTTACTGGGTTAGCAACAAAAGCCAAGATTCAAATCCAGGCAAGTGTGACTCCAGGGCCCACACTCCAAACTGTTATGAAACTGGTTCCCTGAATTGCCTGATACAAAACGTGTTTCCAGAGTAACATTATATGAAAGTGATTTATCAATTTACATTCTCATCACCAGTTTTCAGGAGCTTAAAGAAGATTCTAAATAAGGATACAAAAGCAAACTGAAGTCTTGATAGTGTCAGAGTCCCACAATAAACTGAACAGCTGTATTTCTTTGCCCAGGACACTCTAAGTTACACTGTTGCCCAACGTAATTATTATTAGCACCCCCAGCCCACAACTCTAAAAGTGTCTTGGTTTAGGCAATAAATTATATAGTCAACTTAACTATAAAAGATACGAAACCCAACAACACAACACAATTTCCTACTCAAGCGGCTCTTCCCTTCCCAACTAATTTCTAATGAGCCTTGTCATCTGTACCATGCCCTGCTCCCCCACCAACAGAGACTTACACTGCTCCCCTGGTCCATATAATCCCCAACTCCTATTCTTCTGTCAAGAGGACAGGTATCAGGGAGTGAAAGTCTAGGATGGCTCTGTTCTAATGAAAGCATCAAGAATCGGACTGCTAAAGCACATCACATCCGCCGCCAGCCGGGAGTGTGTAGGGTGAGTGAAGGAGGCACATGCTATAGCTCTGTGTACAAGCTCAAAGAGCCAAACACATTTATTGTCTTCCAAGCTTCCAAAATGGAAACCTCGGGGTTCCTCCAATGCTAACATCACTCAATATAGCTATCTTCTTGCTTCGCTAAGGCGTCACACTTTCCTTCTATGTTCACTTCAAAACGCAAAGCAGAGGGAATTCATTCCAAACCCACAGGACAGGTCATAGTATTCTGGGTCTACTCCAATTTCCCCAGATTCTAGGAAAAAAGCCCCCATTTAACACGGCAGACCAGATCACACTACACTCACCCTTCTGCTACTCTTATCCTTTCATTATAAGTTGCAAGGGTGGACCAGGCATGGTGGCTCACGCCTGTCATCCTAGCACTTTCGTAGGCCAAGGCAGGTGAATCACCTGAGGTCAGGAGTTTGAGACCAGCCAGGCCAACATGGCAAAACCCCGTCTCTACTAAAAATATAAAAATTAGCCAGGTGTGGTGGCGTGCCTGTAATCCCAGCTACTTGGGAGGCTGAAGCAGGAGAATTGCTTTAACTCAGGAGGCACAGGTTGTAGTGGGATAGCGCCACTGCCTTCCAGCCTCGGTGACAGAGCAAAGCTCCGTCTCAAAAAAAAAAAAAAAAAAAAAAAAAAGTTGCAAGGGCAGGAGTTAGGAGCTGAAATCCCAGCTTCTTTACATTCCTCACCCTCCAGTGAAGAAGGGTAAATTCAGTCTAATAGAATGGTTTCTAGTAAAAGCAGGCCTGGATGTCATGGTAATGGGGCAGCTAAGCTGTCAAAAGGGCTTTTCTTTGTTCCATGTACTCCTTTCCCCCTTGCTTCCAGTCAATTCCCCTGGTGATCCAATTCCACACATCCCTGCTACATTACCAACATGTGAATATCCTTTCTGGGGGGATTATTTGACTTTTGGCCATTACCTACTGTCTATCAAATAAATTGAAACTCCCTAATCTAGTAATCACTCTCAAATCCACCCACCCAGAGACTTTACTACATAAACTAAACCCAACACTCAAACCAGAGCCTAGACTCTAATCAAACTGGTATTTTATGGCCCAGGTCCTCATAAGATTAAATCAGCTCATTTCTACCCTATGCCCCTCTTATGCCTTTCCTCTAGAAAAGATGTACTTTTGCCCTAATGTAGGAGAACACATATCACAAAGAGAAAGAAAGCAACTAATATGACTCTCTAATATAAAGTTTAGAAAACAGAAAACCACTAACCTGTAATAAGTATTAACCCTTACAATGTTAGTATATTTAAAGTAATTTTAAAGCAGAAAAACAAGTTATTAAAAGAAAACTGCCAGAAATGTCTTAGAAAAGACCAAGTAGACAGCATATTAACATTTAGTTATGTACGCTCCTCGACTTATGATGGGGTTACATCCCAATAAACCTACTGTAAACCAAAAATATCATGAGTTGAAAATGTATCAAATACCTCAACAGACCCATCATAAAGATGAGAAGTTGTTAAGTTGAGCCACTGCAAGCCAAACCATTGGGAGTCAGGGACTGTCTGCACACAACACGAGGGGTTTTCTTAGCATAGCTGGTACTTTCAAAAATCAGTGCTAGGACCAGGACTGTCAGATATGCTGTATAAGATTCTGAGATACCAGAGGTCACTTACTTGCCCAGCTGTGTCTACAAGTTGAAGATGATATTCTTGTCCATTTACTGTGATCAACTTTGTAAAAGCTACAGGGAAAAAGGGAATTAAACATTAGTTTTTAAAAATTAACTCTAAACCACTTAAAGTTTGAACAATGACAACCAATTAAGCACGGAGTCCCTAGCAGTCTCAGAGAAAGGCCCCATGAAACAAAAAAGAACAACTCCCTGACTTGTATAGAATCTCCCCTACTTCCATTATTTAGCTAGGAAACACGGTGACTGGCTAAAATCAAGCTTGGTAAACCTTGATTCTTTTTCAGAGACAAAGTACGCAACAATTCATATCCTATAATAGTAATTTCAATGCTCTGGGGCAAATCCTTCCTCTTGTGAAAAAGTGAAATATACTACGTAAAGTCTGAGCTCTAGAATAAACCAAAACCACAAAAATTTTCCATTAATTTATAGGAAGTCTGGCATCAGAGCACAAAGAGCTAATATTAGTTGAAGTGCTAAGAACTTCTAGTACATAAAAAAAGTAACAGTTTTACTGACGGATAAAACAGCAATGAAACAGATGTTCTATGTTGAAGCCATCCTTCCCACTTAAGCTTAAGGATCCAAGCAATTTGTCACAACTTCTTTTCCCTGACAAGGAAGGAAAGAAAATCAGACTTGAATAACTTTCGGAAAAGTCAATTCAGAATTTGAGGGAGACAGACTTCAAGCAAATATAGACAAAAGAGGAAAGAACTACTAACAGAAACAATGTAAAAATAACCACCTGGAACCCTGACAAGGAAGTGGAACAGATTTCTCTTGCATACCCGCCCCAGCTGTCCTGACTCACGATGAGTCCTCCCATCTCCTGACTGGCCGTCCTATATGACCAGAGCCAGGCTGCAGAATCTATCCGTCATACAACTGAGAGAGGTCCCACTTTGCCCACAGCAGAAAGGCAAAGCTGACACAGACAAATGGAAATTACGTGAGAAAACTCTAAGTAATAAAGAGGATTGACTGGAGATCTTATCTGAATTATATGAGTTCCACAGGGAAAGAAAAGATGGCCGAAAGACAAGCAATCATCATATTAGCGTCACACTTTTCTAATACAAGCAGGGGTGCCAAAAGTCAGGTGAGTAAAGATTACAGACCACATGATGAAATCAATGGCCACACTATATCATGCTTATACCTTTTCTGTAAGTTATCACTTTTAGGAAACAGTTAAATCAGATGGAAACTGAATCGGAATATTTCAAGTTGAGGGGATACCTAATATAACCTATTTCATCAATTCTAAGACAGTACTCAGATTTGTTTTTACACTGTATCCTCTCTGCTTGGGATGCATCCTGCACCCCTGGAGCTTTCAGTCCTTGTCAGCCAGAGTGCAGTCACTATAGAGCTGTGTGAAACCTTTAGTCAGATAAATTGAAGTGTATTTCAGATTTGATGAAAAGTATGTAAGAAACACTGGTGAGCAATAAAACCAGTGACCTTCAATTAGAACTAAGTAACTGTGGTTATCAAGTATAATTATGATGACAAGGTTACTGAAAGGAAACATCATTCATTCATTCATTCATGCATTCAAGAACAATTTCTTGAGTGCATATTATCACCAGTAGCACTGTTGTGGGTGCTTAGGATGCTGTAGTCTCTGACACTCTGTGAGCTTAGATCCCAGGGAAGGAAAGAAGATACAGACACACATGTACCCTCCCACCCTGTCGGGTATCTTCCCTGGGAGTGGAACATCCAGGCAGAGGTTAAACAGCAAGTGAAAAAAGCAAAAAAGTCAATGCAACTAAAGCTGAGGGAGAATGGTAGGCAGCTAACTAGGATGGACAGGAGGCAGAAGGTCCTACAGAACTTGGGATTTTTACTCTGAATGTGAGGAGAAACCAAGGAAAGATCACTCTGGCTATACTGTATACAACAAAAATGGTCCCAGAGATATTAGGCAGGAGCCCATCATATAGTGACCAGTGTCATGACTGTATAGACTATCACAATCTATAGGTGACACTGGCCTGGATTAGAGATGCAGATATTCTGGAAGTATTTCAGAGGCAGAACCAAAAGGATTTTCTAATTGACTGGAGGTGGGATGTAAGAAAATGAAGAATCAGGATGACTCCAAAGCTTTTTTAAGATGCCACTTACAGATACAGGAAAGACTAGGGGAAGAATACTAGGGATGGGAGAGGAAGGGAATTGAGAGTTGGGTTTAGGGATGTTTTGGGATGCTTATTAAATACCAAGGGGAAACGCAGGCAGTTAAATAAAAAAGCCCAGGATGTAGTGGCTTATGCCTGTAATCCCACTTTGGGAGGCCCAGGCAGGAGGACTACTTGAGGCCTGGAGTTCAAGACCACCCTGGGCAACATAGTGAGACCCAATCTCCACAAAAAAGGAAAAACTGCTCCAGCGTGGTGGTTCACGCCTGTAGTCTTAGCTACCTGCAAGGCTGAGGCAAGATCATTTTAAGTCCAGGAATTCAATGTTACCATAGCTATAATCATGCCACTGCACTCCTGCCTGAAAGACAGAGTGAAAGACTTTGTCATGTAAAATAAAATAAATTATAAAATAAAGCTCAGAGCTGGGGGGAGAGGTTGGGGTTGAGAATACACACTGGTGAGTCAATAGCAAATTAAAGAGAGGGGAAGATCACTTGAGAGCAAGTGCAGAGGAAAGGCCTGAATCAGGGCACCCCGTGTTGCCAAGTCAAAAAAATGCAGAAGATTCGGCCAAGAAGACTGTGAAAGTACTGGCTCACCAGTGAGGTAAGAGAAAAAGGGTAGGAGATGTCATTGTATATAGTGTATAAAAGAAAAAACAATTAATAAACATTGGCATCTATCTTTGCATGTAAAAAGAATGTAACTTGTCCTACTTGTAGCAGTAAAATGAAAAAGAAGACCTTCCATCTTGCTGTCATAGGAAAACTGCCAGTTTTTGTTACTATAGAAAAAAGGGAGGTATAATAAGAGATAGGATAGACTAGGAAATAATTCTGCTCTCTCTCATTTTAACCTCATGTCAAAATGGAAAGCTGGCTTTCTTCTGACATCACTTTCCTTGAGCCCCCTTCTCTCTGCCTCTTTGAATCACCAGAGAATCCCTTTCCAACCTAAACCCCTGAAATTCTCCTAAGTAGACTAATAGCTATTTACTAGTAAATGCTACTAACCAAGGTCATAGAGGTTTCTAAAATTTGGTGTTCACAAAGCAAGATTTGTGTTACTAAAGTGTGGTGAGGACTCTTCTTTCATACCCTACTGAGAAGTCCACACCCAGGACGCAGTGCCTTGAGAATTCTGCAACACCTAACTGCAATCTCCCAACTTCCTGAGAGGAAGGCGCTGATCATTCACCAACAGTGCCACCTGGAGATGGCAGAAGTTGGAAATTGCTGCTATGCTTGCTTTTTAATTATAAACTACCACTAGCTTAATTTAATCCTATCAATTTAGTTTGTATTGAGTTGTTAGATTAACACTGCAGTAGATAATGAAGAATATTTGCATAAGTAGTACTTCTGCTTTAAAATTTCCCCAAACTAGAAAATATGTGGTTTTACTGATATTGTTCTCCTACACCCCTACTGTTAAAGATGACACAGTCCCAGAATTTTTGCTCTCACCATGACACTTCACTGAAATGTGTCACCACTGAGTGCTTGCTATAACAGCTTGTTCTAATATTATAAAGCGTAAAATAACTACTAAATTATTTCCAGATCTACAGTTTTTTAAAATCATAAAACTACCACTTATTTATCTTGCTGGCAACAAGTTCATGATAACCTTTTCTTTTCTTTCCAATTCATTGTTATCACTGAACAATGAATGTTTTTCTACCAAATAGTGGAAGAAATGGTGGACTAAGGGCTCCTGCCCTGTGTTAGGTTATCAAAAGTGTAGTAAGTAGAATATAATGTCTGAACATGCCTCACGAACTTTTAATGGATACATATTCATATTTATTTCTGTTCTTGCCTACAGACTTTAACAAGTACTCTGAATTCATTTTTGAGGTGAAGAAAAGTCTTCATTATTGAACTGTAAGATGAGAAAAATTTAAAATACGACCAAAGATGATGCTGATAGCCTCAAAAAAGTAGGGTCATATTACTCTGTTTCTGAGATAACATCAAGTTACATAAGTTGGACTTTCTTCTGATCCATTACTAAGATAATGTATGTATGTACAGCTCCATGATACACAACTCCATGACTTTCCTTCCAACTCAATTCTATTTTTGAGACCACATCTTGCTCTGCTACCCAGGCTGGAGTGCAGTGGCGTGTTTACAGATCACTGCAGCCTCAAACTCCTGGGTTCAAGTGATCCACCTGTCTCAGCTGAGACTACAGGCACACTCCATCATGCCCAGCTAATTCCAGTTCAGTATGAAATGGTATGAGGATACATACACAATTATCCACTTTTAGAGGCAGAGCTTACGAAGAAAACAATCTTCTATTGTTCTATTAATACAATTCCAAAATGAACCTTATTATTTCAAGGATCTAAAATCCTAAATTGCTATGTATAGCAAATATTAAAGTCTGAGATGATGATTTCCTTATATTCTTATTCCAGTGGACAGAAAACCAAGCTTGTTCATCTAGCACTCACATTAATCTGCTCTTCACACTTGCTTACTATGATATAATGACTAGCTAGACAAATCATAGGATGTAATCAGGACTCCTCCCTGTGATACCCAGAGGTTACTTTCAAATATAACATCTTGAAAGGTTACTTTCAAAAATATTCCCGGAGTTAGTTTATCAACCAATAGGTTTCCTTCTCTGCTACCAGTACACTGACACACAAAGGACAGCCAAATATTTTAAGTAAGGGGTGAGGAAACTTTTTCTGTAAAGGGTCAGATAGTACTAGTAAATATTTTAGGCTTTGTAGGCCACCTGGTCCCTGCTGTAACTATTCAACAACTCTGCCATTGTACACAATGTAAAGGACAACATGTAAAGAAACAAGCATGGCTGTGTATCAACAAAACTTTACAGACATTAACACTGGAATTTCATATCATTTTCACATCAGACATTATTCTTCTTTGGACTTTTATATATGATGCTTAAATGTAAAAACCTTGCTTAGCTCTTGGTCCGTACAAAGACAGACAATGGGCAATGGGCCTTTCTGGCCTGCAGGCTGTTGTCTGCCAAGCTCCTTACTTTAAGCCAAAGCATTCAAGTGATTCTCTTCTCTTGCAAACCTCTGGCAGGTGAAATCTACCTCATGCATAATATGCCAACCAGGTGTTGATGAATCCCCATGTTTAAATCTACATGTTCCTGGTGACAAATCCTAGGTAAGTCCTGGTCTCAAGAATCTGAGAAAACTAGTTCCAGGGCCCACCTGTGGTTCTAAGCCCGAAAAGACCAGCTTCCCTGTTTCGGATTCTCCTTAGCGATCCCTAGAATCAAGATCTGTCTCAAAGCTGGGCACAGTGTCGTATGCCTGTAGTTCCAGCTACTTGGGAGGCTGAGATAACAGGATCACTTGAGTCCAAGATATTGAGTTCAGCCTGGGTAACACTGTGAGACCCATGTCTCTTTAAAAAAAAAAAAAAAAAAAAAAAAATTGTCTCATGGTCCTAGAATCCATCAGGAATATGCTGAAACCACGGATTAAAATTGAACAAAGTAAAGGTCATAGCTGGTTCTCTCTTCCCTGCTTTTTTCTGCACATGGCCTAAAATGTCAACAGGCTTTTTGAGCCAACTTCTTTTTAATGCTGCAATTGCTCTAACCAATCCCAGAATAGTTCATTTCTCTTTCAAATCTTTAGGGCTGGAAAGAAGGATATAGAGAAATGGGGGCGGGAGTATGGCTTCTGTAAGAATAAGGAACAGCGATCTGGAGTGTTTTTCATTCTTTCAAGCTTGGAATCCCTGGAAACTGCAATGGCTGGGAGGACGGGGGTGTGGGGGAAAAGACTGTGCTCTCCACTCCTGTTTTTGAGCAGATTCTGGAATACGAAGATTCCAGTAATGGGCCAGATTCCTACTGACTTGAATTAACAATTTCTAGATGACAAGGCATGCAGACATGCAAGGAAAAAATCTTTCAGGGTAAAGTAGGTAAATCTTTTGCAAGTTTTCTTTGACCCCAATCAGGACACATACAGAATTTACCTCCTGCACTCAAAGCCTCCATGAATACACAATGGCTATTTTACACAAAAGAAGGCTTCTCAGTTTTTAAGTACTTGAAAACAATACTTACTGTTTTCTATGGTTGGATCGTAGGAGTCCACAAATTGGCCTTCAACAAATTGAATCGTCAATGAGGATTTCCCTATAAAGGAGAACAAGAGCTTAGTGTGTGTTGGCATACGAAGGTAAAAATTTTTAATTTTGCTGTTTCATTAAAAAAAAACCACTAATAGATGAAGAAGCTGAAGGTATTAGGGTCAGAAAACATTCCTTTAATTAGCATTTGGGCAATTTCAAAAAATGAAATAAATTTCATTAATTTGCTTTATATGAGGATATTATGCAATTAAGCTATTACCAAGTAAACTTGTCTGTGACATTAACAAATATTACTGACCAACAAGCACATCAGATATTCTGTTAAACTAAAAGATTTAAAGTAAGCTAATTTCCTCTAGTATCCTTGGAATCTTGCTATTTAATGTTAATATGAAAAGTAAAACGATTAGTTTCGTTGTATTCTTTCATATATGACCATTAGAAGTGTTACCAAGTACAGCTTTTAAAAAGAGTAATATGGCCAGGTGCCATGGCTCATGCCCGTAATCCCAGTACTTTGGGAGGCTGAGGCAGTTGGATCACCTGAGGTCAGGAGTTCAAGACCAGCCTGGCCAACATGGCGAAACCCTGTCTCTACTAAGAATAACAAAAATTAGCTGAGTGTGGTGGTGGGTGCCTGTAATCCCAGCTACTTGGGAGGCTGAGATAAGAGAATCGCTTGAACCCAGAAGGCAGAGGCTGCTGTGGGCCAAGATCACACCACTGCACTCTAGCCTGGACAACAGAGCAAGACCCCGTCTCAAAAAAAAAAAAAAAAAAATAAGAGTAATCTGAAAATATGTAACATAAGTCTTTATCTTAAAAACTCCTTTGAAGCTAGAAATCCTATCTCATTCAGTATGAAAGGCCTAGCAGTATCTAGACAATTAAGAAATGTATGGATTTCACAAAATCGCCAATAATTGAACTTGTATGTTAATAAATCAACAACTAGAGCTTCTCACTCTTCTGTTACCTAAAATGTCTACTGGAGGACTTCAGAACAGGGTATGTGCCCTGTGAAGAAACCGCATGAGAGGCATAGTTCAGATGACTTTATCACCAGGAATGAGGAAGTGGTCCCTCCCCAATTTCGCCTCCAAACCCTTCCTTCTCTCTCACATCCTCGGAACATTATTACACACATGCTGTATATGCCTGGCGTACTTAACTCCACCACAACAGGACGTGCAGTGAGAGTGAAGGAGAGGCGTGGTAACACCCGTCTTACACTTCTGGGTTTAATTTCCGCTTGTTTCTCCTCCAAACTACGGATAGGTATAGTTGCACAACGTTTTCACACCAAAGGCATTCCTCAAAATTTAAATTGTTAAAAAGTTGGCTTAACAGTAGTGGTTGCTGGCCGGGTGCGGTGGCTCATGCCTGTAATTCCAGTACTTTGGGAGGCTGAGGCGGGTGGATCACCTGAGGTCAGGAGTTCGAGATCAGCCTGGCCAACATGGTTGGCCCTGTCTCTACTAAAAATACAAAAAAAGTTAGCCAAATGTGGTGATGGGCACCTGCAATCCCAGCTACTCAGGAGGCTGAGGCAGGAAGATAGCTTGAACCCAGGAGGCGGGCGCTGTAGTGAGCCGAGATGGCGCCACTGCACTCCAGTCTGGGCACCAGTGAGACTGTCTTATTAAAATAAAAAAAGTAGGGGTTGCTGGGAAGGAAAGGCCACAAGTTGGCAGACCTATTTACTCCTTATCAGCGGCCCAATACACAGTTTGAAATGTCTCTAGAATTACTAAAACCTGAAACTATTCTCTACAAAGCAACTTACATGAGCATTTGAAAATTAAACGCTACTTCTCTGCTTCCAATCCTCATTGCAATTAGAATCAATTCCCAACTTCTAACCATGGCCCACAAATACCAGGCCATCCCTGCTCTGGCTACCACTCTGACCTTTACTGCCAACAGCCCCCAACAACCCGTCCTGAGGCTCCAGTCTCCAGTCACATCCCTTCTGCTCCTGGAGTTCCTGCCCGCCTTGGCCCCTTTATTCTAGCAACGCCCATCCCCCCGTCTCTGAATATATGACTCATCTTTGTCATTCTGATCTGAGCTCAAATGTTAGTTCCACAGAGAAACCTTCAAGACCACCCTAAGGTAGTACCCATGCCTTAAAAGTCATTCTCATAGCTACTGCTTTATTAAGTTATTTGAAATTATCTTCATTTAGTGAACACTCTACTGAAGCCAGCACAGGGCCAGCTGACACACTGTAAACATTGATTTCTGAACAAATGAATGAAATTAAAGCGTAGACCTCCAAATGTCACTCTTAGCCATTCAGATACTACAAAAGATCTCAATTTTATACAAATGAAGTAGAAAACACAGTTCATCAGAAATTAAGAAACAATTCAACTAGTATTTATTGGTACCCAATCACAGGCCTGCCTGTGATATAGGAATACAATAGTTCAAGAATTCCACAAATTTAAAGTGAATTGTGTTGAAAAGAAACCATGTTATATATGCTAGCCTGTAAAGGAGAATTTAACTCAAAATATAGCAGAACTACTTCAGGTAATAAAAACAGCAATGGGAAAACTCCTCTCTTACGTTATTGAAACTGAAAAATTAGGAGTAAAAAAATTGTTATTTACACTGAATGCTACTGCTTAAAGAAATGAAACTTAATTAGAAAGGAAGAAGACAAAAAACTTCTTAAGAGCTTTTGCAGGGTACTTCTAAGGACTCTGGTGGGCTTTTTATACCCTTATGTGGGTAGGATAAGGGTTTGTGGGGTTTTTGTTTTGCTTACAAATGGAAAGGAAAGAAAGCAGATCATTTTCTCCCTAAAGATATGGCCAAGAGTTACAAAGAAAAAAGGAAATAATAGAATTTAAAAGACTTTTGCAACATTTTGTGTAGTAGAACTGGACTAAAAACAGTGAAAGAGGAGCTAAGTATGATACATGGGATAAGCTCCCTAAGCACTGGGCAACCGGGAGCCCCTGGATCAGACAGTCCTCTGAACTGGCACTGGTCAAGTCTCAACAACATGACTTGTGGGAGTGAAGGGATGGGGAGAAGAGTCTCAGGAGTTTCCCGTGAAATTTAGGAAGTCACATTTGAACAGAAAAGAGTTACACACATTAAGCAAGACAGCATGAGATCAAGTGCAAACATGTAGAGAGAGAAGAGCTCCTCATTTGTATCACAATGGGCATATACTATTTGACAGGCTAAATTAACAATTCGGTTGAAAACTAAGTAATCATTCTGGTAACAGACAATGTAGTCTAACCAAAATCACATCGCAGGTTGACAGCCAACTGTTGTTTTCATGAATAGTAAATTGGGATACCAGAATTTAAAACTTATTTCTCCAGGGTGGAAGCTGGATTCTCAATCAGACTGGCCCTGGGAGAAAGGTATTGTTCATTAGCAGAAGTGGCACTGAAGAAAAATGACGTTTCCCTTGGGTCTCTCCTCCCTGGGGCTCTCCTGCTAGGGTGAGGTCATTAATTATTTAAATAATCCAGAAGGGATAGGAAGGTTATGTTTGCTAACATGCTGTTTTCTGCCATTTCCATTGAAAGTGCTATTATTAGATAATTAGTGTTGAAATTTTGACAAGTCAGCATTAAATGCTAATGAATCTTCATAAATAAACCCCATCGCTCATTTTCAAGTGTTCTCAGTTCTAGTTATAATTTCTGGCTTTAAGGAGTGTCTTCTGGAGACGTAGTTCACATCTTTTGGTTAGGATTTTCATGTAGTCTGCTTGCAGCCACAAAAAGGCATTTGTGATCTCTACTGTGATCATCTGTAACCTTTTTCTCTCAATAACCTCATATATTTACTTTGACTTTTGTCCTTAGCAAATTCAGGTCTGGAAACACTGTTCTTTGCTGAAGATAATCTCACACTCCAGATCAACTCTTTGGAAAAATGTTACATGAAAACTATGTAGGAGTGATCCCAAATAAATGGAAAAGTAGCCCATACTCAGAATGTGTTTATCCTCAAACACAAACCACTCATTTAATGACATAAATTACTACAAATGCTTTAAAAGGCAGTATCTCAATTCCCACAATTAACTGTCAAATATTCTTCCTCCAAACCAAAACCCACCTTAATTTTTAAAAATAAAAATTATTTAAAAAAATTATTCTGAGCGTTTATCGGGGAATAGCATCATATTATTTTTTTCCAATGATAAAATGGTACAGTGAATTTTTCACCTGGTATTTTCACTACAGAAGGTGTATGAACTTTCAGGGGTGTTGACTCAACCTTACACCTCGTGATTATTGCAAAACAGGCACTGTTTACAGAATTATTTTAAGTTTTCAGATTAATGTTGACTTTGTTATCATGATTATTATCCTAAAAAATAACTTATTAGCCAGGTGTGGTGGCTCATGCCTGTAATCCCAACACTTTGGGAGGCTGAGGCGGGTGGACTGTTTGACCCCAGGAGTTTGAGACCAGTCTGAACAACATGGTAAAACCGTATCTCTACAAAAAAATATAAAAAGTAGCTGAGTGTGGTGATGTGTGCCTATAGTCTCAGTTACTCAAGAAGGTGATGTAGGAGGATCGTTTGAGTCCAAGGGTTGAGACTGTGTGCGTGAGGGTGCCACTGCCCTCCAGCCACGGTCTGTCCCCCCTCCCACCAACTCCCTACAAGCCCAGCATTTCCCCAAACAGTTTATACATTGCTTGTTCATTGGGATATGATGGGGAAGACCAGATTTTCAATCTATTAACTAGTCTATCAAAGCATTCTGCAGAAGGGGGAGTCCATTAGCACCAATGTAATGTATCTAGGACACAACCCATTCCAGGGCTGCTTTCATCACCTCAAATTCATAACATAACTTTAAGGGGCTTTGATGACCATGGACACAAGCTACACAAGCTAACAGCTCAGCCTGAAAGCCCACTGGCCTTTGCACCAGTAATCCTCTCCATGCCACTTCAGCAACCCACCTCCTGAGCATACCAAGAAGTGCCTGGTCACCACCCAGACTGCTGTTCCTCTGGCATCTGCCCTTCTTCCCACCTAGCAATCAATAC